TAGCAGTTGTGGCTCATGAAGGCGTGTGCGCCAGGAAGTGTGTGTAGGGACTAGGGGTTGTGGAGGGGGAGGATTGTGTCCAAGCTGTTGCCTTCCTCCAGTAACAGGTTGTGCGTTGGGCAGACCTCAGCGTTTTTGGTGGAGTGGGCTAAGCATAAGTGAATGTTTAGAAGCTGAGTGTGCTTTAACTTGTGTGGATCAGCAATGGGTGATTCCACCAGGAAACTAGTCCATGGCTGATCAGCATGAGCTGGGGGTTGTCAGATGCAAGAGACAACCTTTTCATTGGGACTGGGTGCTATGAAGACAAGGGTAGATGCTAGTTCTTGGCAAAGATCCTGGAAACCCCAGGGCCAGAGCATGTGTCCCACTGGGGGATGTTTACCTCCTTTACCTGAGGAGACACTTCAGAGACAGGAGGCTGCTATCATCTGTGCTTGAGGGAAGAGGAAATGTCCCAGCCCACATAACCTTGTCTTCCCTCCAGGCTGTACAGCACGGCCTGATCAAGTTTGCCTGGCTCTAGCCGTCCTGTAGCATGAAGGTGGTTCGGAATCAGTCATTTAGGATTGGAGCCTTGCTCACAGTGATGTGCAGCAGGACTGTCTGTGCAGGTTGTGCAAAACATGAGCTATCTGCCTCGGGTGTTTTCTCTAGGGTGTGTTTACATAGCCAGGGTGTTTTCAGAGCACCTGAGGTGGAGCATACCAGAAAAGCCCCTGCTGTGCAAGTGCAGAGGGCCTGGGCAGAGCTGTTGCAGCTGGATATGTGCTTGTTGAGGTGGGCTCTGAGGTGCAGTTCACATGTCCTGGCCATTGCAGGCTTGAGATGTACAGCAGTGAGGCAGTCCACAGGAATGGGGTAGATCGGGAGCTCTTTGGGCCAGGCCCCTGGGATGAGCCATCTTTCTGGTGATCCCTGAAGCAAGAGAATGGTGGTTAAGAAACGTTAGATGTAACTGCCAAAAGGGACCAGTCTGATAGGGGGTGGGGATGACTTTGTATCCTGTGCTAAAGAAAATGCTTCAACGTTCAAAGTAGCACAGATACTCAGTTATGCTCTGTTGATATCAATGTATGATGAGGTAGGTATTTTTTCACGGCAGAGAATAGGATCTGATGAAGCCCACTCGCTTTGTTTGCCATAGCAGCATGTTTATAGTGTGCCCTTCTGCTGACATCTGTGCAGGCAGAGTAGTATTGCCAGGGCAGGAATGCTAGTACCTTGTGTAAGAACTGGGACACAAACAACTCTGGGTAATTCTTCCCTTTTGTCCTCCATACTCATCCCCTTGCTCCCTCCTCTCCCCAAGATTGCACTTGCTGGTAGGGCTCTGGGGTCTCTTGTGGGTTATTACAAGTGCCTCCATGGTGGAGCTCACCTGACGGCATACAGCACAAGCGGACAGACCCTGGAGAATGGGCTGTGGAGTAACTGGTGGGATGTGGCTCCTGGAGGTGACCATGAGAGGTTACTGCAGTGGTGAGGCTGAGTTATGGGGGTGTGATACTTAACCCTAAGACTGAGAATTCCCTTCTGTTGACTGCAAACCTGTTCCTCTGCCCCACTGCTCACTGGGTGTTCCAGTGTCAAAGTGGAGCATCCAGATTATTACTATTTTTTTCCTCATTTTGAATGAAGAACATCTGTACTGATGTCATGGCATAAACTCGATTGTTTCGTCACTGTGGCTTTGGGAATGTTTCTGCACACGAGGCTTTTTATATTGTCCGATGTGTTTTTCAAAGCAAAAATGTTTTGTTATCTGTCTTCTCTGAAAATGGATCGGAGTCCAATTCTGTCAGGAATCAGTATGAATTTTTACAGCTGCAAAAGCATAGTTAACTGTCGACTGCTTTAATACTCCTTTCTGGCTAAAGTAGAGGCACTAAACATCTAAAATACCCGTTGTGAAATCAAAGCCCCTACAGGTAAAATTTTCAATTGGAAAATGATGTTATATTTTAATTTAAGGAGCATACAGGTTTCAAGCTGAAGACAAAACGTGTTTGACCAAATCTTAACATGCTGCCTGCAGCTCTGGTCTCTGTATCACGGAGTTGGCACAGGGAAGAGCATGACCAAAGGGATGGAGCAGCTGCCTCGTGAGGAGGGACTGAAAGGCTGAGTGAGACTCCTCCACCTGGAGAGGAGAAAGCAAAGCAGTGAGATGAGAGAGGTTTAAGAAACCATGAAAACAGCAAAGTGAATGCAGAAGTGCTCTTCACCAAACCCTGCAAATAACAAAGCTAAGGGGAACTAGCTTAAACTGGTGGAGGTTTGGTTTAAAACAGGCAGAAGGTGCTTTACACAGAGGGCAGGCTGTTGATGGGTTGTAGCCTGCTTCTTGTGGTGTTTGCACCAGTGCAGGTAAGCATGGGCTGAAAATTAGCCATCTAATCTGAGATGCTGTTAATTTTTTTATTATTATTACTATTTTTTTGAACAGGCTGAGCATATGAAATATGTCAAATTCTCAGGCACAGGTCAGATGTTTGGAAAAATGCGCTTCTGGGAATTTGCGGCCAAAAGATTTAGTGACGTTTGAAAGGTTAAGTATGTAGAGTGGGAATATTTACAACTCTGTTATCAAAGATAAAAATGTACAAAAGCAGTGAATCCTGTCTTCCAGGGCATTCCCAAGAGTCCCATTTCCCAGTCGTTCACTGGGACTCAGTGGGAGAGGTACAGAGGGAGGACTGTGAGGGAGGTACTGCTAGCAAAGTTATGCTAAGTTCCAAAAAAGTTCATCAGTGAGGCATTGGAGGTGTGGGAGGTGTGTGTGGGGTCACCCCTCTTCCCCCCACCTTCCTGGAGTCCCACAGTGCCGTATGTCTGGTCTGCACTCCAAGCAGCTGGCATCAGGCTCCGTCTCAGTTGCGAGGTCTGTGCCAGGCTGGTGTTAGTTTGTTGCTTCTCCCACACTATAGAGTGTATTATGTGTAGCAAAAGAAGCATTGGAAGGTGGAGTTTTGCAGATTTGATTTCCCTGTGATGAAGCCAGTTAAACCAGCTCTGCATGTAAGGATACGTCTCCTTAGAGGATTTTCATTTCTGTGCTGAAATATTTTGATTAAACAATGCAAAACTAG